TTTTTAAAATATGGTTTTTTTGTTATTATAATTTTTATAAGTTTTACTTTTTCTTAATTTATATTTTCTTGGTTTATTTGTTTTATAGGTTTTCTGAGGCATGCAACCATATTGTGGTGGAAAGTCTAATTGTTTACATACATCGTAAAATTGTTTCTTAATTTGTTTAGACTCTCTACGTTGTCTGCATTCCTTTTTTAACATGTCATAGACATGGTTAACTCTATCACCTATAGTTAATTTATCTCTTCGAGGGTTCTCTAACCATTTTTCCCAAATTTTAGTTCCTACGCTTTCTGGTTATTTTTGAAGATATCTATCTAATAAGGTTAGGTCTCCGATTTTTCCTGTGGCGGCAAAATATTCAAAAAACTTATTTGTATAATCTCTTATATATCTAAAATCACAAATTTGTAATAACTCTAGATTACGTAAGGCTTCATTTTGCTTGATTTGAGTTTCTTCTAATAATCTGTCTTCACCTAGTAATACCCTTTTGATTAGGCTGGTAAACTATTGGATTGTAAAATTATCTTTTAAGATGTTGTAATCCTTAACATAAGTAACTTTATAAGATTGCCACCAATTTTGAATTGTCCCTCTTAATAGAGTTTCACAATAAGTTAATGCTTGTATTCTATTATCGAACCGAGTTAATATAGCTGTTCTAATACAGTCTTGTTCCCAATCATCGATTACTCTTGACTAATCTTAGGGATCGTGTCGTGATATATCTAATATAGTTTCGGCATCGGCATCGTGTGCTGGGATATTATTGTATCGTCTACGATGTGGTGTCCACGTGTACATGTCTAGTATATTTCTATTTTCAACATATGTTTCTTGTGTAGGTTGTAATCTTTGGCCTGCAAGATACTCATCATTTGTTTTATTAGTGCTACTAGTTGCATTATGCATTTCTTGATCTACAGATCCTGTAGGTTGGGAGGTAAATCCTTTTGGTTCTTTTCTTTCTCTATGTTCTACCTGTTCTACGACTACGACATTTAATTCTTATTTTGTGTAAAATGATTCAAACCCTACTTTTAATATATTTCTCTTAATATCTTCGTTATTTCCTTCTCCTAAATAAATACTTTCTATGAGTTGATAATTTGGGTCAGGATATTTTTCTTTCAAATCCTCAAATTCAAGATTATCAAAATCATACATTATTTTATCCAAAATTTCACTTCTAATCGATCATAAAGTACATTTATTTCTTCGGGGGATTTTATTTCTATTAGTGTAGTTAAAAAGTCTTCTTGGGTATCATCTACTAAATTATCTTGTCTTTTGTAATTACTAAACCTTACACTAGCTTCTCCGCTATTTTTTGTATATATCATATTACTTTCTGGAATCTTTTTAGTTATAGTAGTAAGGTTAGGTAAGTGCCATTCTGTTCCTTCATGGGTAATACTGCTTACTTTTCTAACTTCTATTATCTGGACATATTTGCTATTGAAGGGTTTAACGATTTCACTAAATTGAGCTTTAAATTGTAGATTATATTGATTAACTGCTTTTCACATAAATAAAGTATTGACTAATAAGTTTTCAAACTGTCCTGTCATGTTATATTCTTTAGTAGATATAGTTATCTTTATATGTTTACTGAATTCTCTAGTAGTCATAGTATAATTGGGGATACATCCTACGATTGTTACGTTGTCTGCTAAATCTATTTTAGCGCTGGCTATTTGTGCTTGTTGATGGTTATTCCATCGATCATTATAAATATAAACAAGTGCTCTAGTTCCTATTTTGGCTATATTTAATCCTACTAATCCTATCATTATGACACCTAAATGCATGAGTTCTAAATTATTATCATTTAATTCTTGACATGTTTCAGGTGTTAGAAGGTCTAAAATAACTTGATTGTTAACTACACTTACTTTCCCCTGGCTAAAATGATTATATATTTTGCTCTGGAAGTCTAGTAAATTATTGAAATAAAGGTTAATTTTATTTTTTACCTTCTTCATTTATTGTTCGATATAGTTTTTAGCATCATGTTCATTGTCATATAAATCTTCTACTCTCATTATTTCTTTGTCTTTTCTAAGGATAATGGCCATTTTGGTATTTGTTTATAAGGCTACAATAAGTTTACACACTTGGTGGTCACAGGCGAGAACTGATTAGTAGTTGATAACTTCATATTTTTTATTTTATTTGATAATTCGGATAATTCTCTGGAAGATTCTCTGGGAATACTTTCTTATATTACTTCTAATTTTTCTTCAAGTTTATTAACTTTTTCAGACAACTAGAGTAATAACTGGATTAAAAAGTTATTTTGTCTAATATGTATATTAGTTGATTGTACGTCTATTTTAAAACTTATAAATCCTATAGGTTCCTTATCAATTTTATAAAGTTCGGCTAAAGTTGTTAGATAATCAGGATTATTAGTGCTCATAAAACTATTGTAATAGCTTTTGAATATTGATTTTAAGCGATTTTAAATAGTCTATAATTATTTTTTGATTTTCAGAAATACTTTTAATATCGCTGTTTATATCTTTAATGGCGACTAATATTATTTTATTATTTAAATTATTTGGACTAGAATTCTGTACTACTTGTTCTTTAATATAATCAAGATTTTCTCCTAATCTTTTTATAGAATTATCTAAGCTATGAAAGTCTACTCTATTCATAAACTAAAATAGTTGCCGTCTAACTTCTAAAATATTCTGTATTCGAATAATTCTAGATCTAAGTTCTTCTATTCTTTGTTGTAGGTTACGAGTTGTATCTCCTAAATCTTGTGTGATGTAACAATTCCTAAGTGATATTTGACAAAATTCTAGAACTTGTACAAGGGTTTCTTTGGGTAGATTGTGCATAAAACAAACTTTAGGGGCGAAAATATAATTCTAGCTTAATAAAGGGTGTTGGTTCATGTATTTGTAAATATGCAAACTACGGGTAATATACCTTTGCTACTACCACTTATATGTAAATCTCCCTAGATTAAATCATGAATTGGGGTTGGCTCGACTAATGTACTTGACAAATAACCTCGGGGAGTTTGGCTTAGCTTGTTTATTAAGGCTCGTTTGTTTGTATGTAAAAATATATTTTATTATTTTTTGGTATTTGGTTGTAAAATATTTACCTCACAGACTCACTTAGACTTTTGCCGAATGCAAAAAAAAAATAAAATTGAAAAAATTATTTTATCTGAAATAAGCATGATAATAAATGAGCATTGTTACACATTTGATCTGTGAATAACTAAAAAGATACGAATATTCTCTATTTTAATATATGTTTGTATTTCTTATCGTCGATTGAAGGAAAAAAAAAAAAAAAAAAAAAAAAGAAACAATTGCACTAGATTTCACTCTCTATCTTTAATTTGTTTTTCTCTACTAATATTTTATATATATATATATATATATATATATATATATATATATATATATATATTCTCTTCTACACTCTATATATTTTTCAAGAAAGTATTTTTTTAACTACTTTATCTCTTTTAAATTTAAACTTAATAAAAAAAATAAATCGAAATACAATTGTAAAAGATTTTAAGTGAATTATGTAAATTAACATTCTTATTTATGAGAAAGAAGTTATTCTCTCTTGATAAAAAATTATAACTTTTAATTAAAATTAAAATTATAACTTCTAATTTAAATTAATTGACGATAGAAAGGGTCCAAACGAAAATACATTCTTAGTGAAATTGAATTCTGAGTTATTAAGTTAAATAACATTGGTCTTCTTGTGGCGGCTGTTAGGATTTTCTTATCTAACCTTTAATATGTATATGACTAATCCAATGGCTGGGATTGAATTATGACTTGGGGCCTTAGATCATTTAGTTAAATAGACTTCAATTTTTTTTTTTTTTTCATAATGTAATTGAGTCCGGTTACAAACTTAACAATCTTGGCTCGTTTACTTAACAAACGATCTCGTTCCATTAATGTGAACAAATAATTGTTTGGATGTAAAAAAAAAATATATATATATATATATATATATATATATATATATATATTTTATAGACGCGACTTAGATTTTTGTCCAATATTAAAAAAGTAAAAATCAAAAAAATATTTTACGTGAAACAAATGAACCTAAATAAGTATGAAAATTGAATTAAAATTAGAGATTTTAATATTTGACCAGACTATTACTAAAAAGACATTAATGTTCTCTATTTTAATATATATTATTTTATTCTTTTATGCATTTGTGTTTCCTATTTTAGTAAATTAAACAAATTGTCAATTTAAGGAAAAGAAAAAAATAAACATTTACACTAGATTTCACTCTCTATCTCTAATATGCTTTTATCTACTAATATATTTTTATTATATATATATATATATATATATATATATATATATATTCTTCTGCACTCAATATACTTCTTAATGAGAGGATTTTTCAACTACTCTATATGTTTTGGTTATCTCTTTCAAATTTAAACTTAATAAAAAAAATCAAAATACAATTATAAAAAGTTTTAAATGAATTATGTAAATTAAGAATCTTATTCAAGAGAAAGAAGTCATTTTTTCATGGTTAAAAATTCTAACTTCTAATTTAAATTATTTGACAATAGAAATGTCCCAAACGAAAATATATACTTAGTAAAATTGAATTCAAGCTATTAAGTTATACAATTTGAATTCTATAATTATAAATTTTACTATTTTTTATAAAGGTAAACAGGTAGAGTTCAAATTTTACAATTTGAATTCTATAATTATAAATTTTACTATCATAAAATAATTTTTATGATATTTTCTATATCAAAAAATTATTTTTAAAATATACAAAATAGTCAAATAAACAAACACCTAATTCACAATAAAATCACAAATCAAATTCTAAAATAAATTTGAACTCTACCTGTTTACTTTTTGGAATAGGTTTATTTCAAAAAATAAATAAATAAATAAAAAATCAAAATAAGAAAAAGGGAATTTTACAGTTTGACATTCATTAGGCTTCTCTGGTAATTACCACTTTGCCATCGTCTCTCCAAAAAAACGATCTGTATTCACCCAGAGCAGTGTGAGTTTGCGGCGTCTAGTTTCATTCTCGAAGCGCGAAAAACCAGAGAAAAAAATGGCGGTGAGAATCAGATTAGCGAGGTTCGGATGCAGAAACAGGCCGTTTTATCGAGTTATGGCCGCCGATAGCAGATCTCCCAGAGACGGCAAGCACTTGGAAGTTTTGGGTTACTACAACCCATTACCGGGTACTCTCGGTTTTTCTCTCTCCGTCTGTTTGGTTGCTTAGAAAAGAAAAGAAAATTAAATTTTCGCTACGAGTTTTGGGGTGTTACAATCCATTTTCTTAGGTTCTATCACGGTCTTTTTTTCCCCTTCTATGATTTGCTTGGTTGCTGAGAAAATGTTGAAAAGAAAAAAACAAAAAAAAAAAAAAAGAGAACGAAATGTTTCAAATGTTAAGTTATTATTGTTTGGAGAAAAAAGTTCTAATATTAATCAGTGGATTAGTTGAGGGGATAACTATTTTTTCAAATTAAACTGCATAAATTGTAAAAGTCCCAATATGTTGTTATCATGCGATCAGTTTTATCAGAAAATCTACAGAGGGTTATTGATTTTTACTAAAATTGTCTTGAATGTGTTTGGTTTATACAGGTCAAGATGGTGGTAAACGAATGGGTCTTAAATTTGACAGAGTGAAGTAAGTGATTTTGATGTTATTTTCTTTCCAACTTCATTTATTTTCCAAATTATTAGTGAAATATTGGATTGGATGTTCTTATTGTTGTCTTTAACCGGCAAGCTTTAGTTAATCTAAAGTAAAGAAGGACAAGTGGTAAGAGAAAGAGGAACACTTTCTTCATTTTGATAAATCAGAATAACAGTAATGTATAATAAAAGAGTTTTTTATTTTTTTATTTTCCCCAGATATTATCGATTAAGAGAAAGAAGAACCTTATATCCAGTATGTTTATGAAGATGTGGGAATGAACATTGAGGATTTCTCATGAAATTATCAATTATAGTGCAATTTAGGTTGGTCGCAATATAAATTGTTTGAAGGGTTGAATGCCCCTGTTTGATTTTTGAGATTGGTTGTTGTCCACTTGATAGTTGGTCTGTAATTGGTGAAATCTTTGAGCTGTTGGTTTTCCAAATCCCACGATTGAAAAGGTTAGGAAATGCACCTCTCCCAGAAGTAGAAGTAGAAACATCGTGTTTCAGTCCTCTACCTGTTTAATCTAATTCCCAATTCAAGTAATTTTTTGGATTTTCAAGTGTTAGTTCTGCCACCACTGCTGAATTAATTGTTCTTTCCATAAGCAGCCTGTTTTTGAAATCTTTATCTTTCTCAATTGCAATCACTTCACGAGTTCCTTCTGCTTCTTAGAATTCTCAATGATGTCTACTTTTCTTTTTTCATGGATTCTGAAGGATGAAGTCTTAGCCTCATGGTTTCTTCTTCTGTAATTTTATTTTCTTCTGTTCTCACATTTTAAAATTTGTTACTCCAGATATTACTTCTCTCCTTAAGGCTTTTTGGCCCTTCAAGGCACACCTTAAATTCAGAGATTTGCTTGGAAACTAAAGCTTTGTTTCTCAATTTGTGCTTCATTTGCACTGTCTTGCATTTTTTATAAAGGATTTTGTGAAAGGGGTGCATAACGATGACCAGGAAACCCCTTCTGCAGAGAGGATAAGTATTTTGAGGGAAACATGCATGTAGTGTTCACCGATTGGTTCAGTCTGCCATTTACGGTGGAGCTGATAGGAAACACCCCGAATTTTGTTGGCATAGATACTATAGAGTAGAAATGGATGGACTCATGTCTTGTTTCCATTTCTTGCATCTCTCCCAAGTCTTTCTCGTACAGGAAATTATGTGGTCCAAAAGTTCAGCCTAATATTTACTTGGATGACTAAATCAAACAGAAACTATATAAACATCCTATGCTGTCAATTTTGTTTTTATTATTGTTTTTATTATAAATATATATATTTGGGTATCATATTAGATTCCCCACCATGTTGTGAAACATGCACAAGGCATTACAGAATCAACTTATCACTCTTAGAGAATAAACCTAGCTCTTGAAAACGTTCCACCGTTTTTGTACTTGTACTTTGTAACAAATTCATTCACGATACCAATGGAGACTAATACCTAGATCTCAGTTGTATTTAACTTCAAGCAAAACTTTGATTACTTCAAAAGTTGTTTTCCCTTTTTAGGGTGAGGTAGCTATTAAAATCATAACTAATTGGTGGAAATATAAGGTAGCCTAATCGACTCTCATAGGAAATGATCATATGTTCTATGTTCATTATGAACTTAATTATGTATTCTATGTTCTTTATGTACTTGTGTTGAATATAAAGGTTTTCTTATACATGTCTGATTACAAGTATCACAATACATCAGTCAAACAAATGGAAAAATGCGAACTTTATTTTTTTTTGGGGGTGTGGTATATATTATATTTGATATACTTATTCTTTGTGCTTATATTAGTCTTTCTGAATAGATTTCCTCGAATTGTGTACTAAATTAAATGGTCAAAAGATCCCTATGTACATAATTCCGGTATGATGTTTTCCCTTTTTCTGCAGATACTGGTTATCAGTTGGTGCCCAGCCTTCTGACCCTGTCCAACGCCTACTTTTCAGAGCAGGGTTGCTACCCCCGCCACCGATGCTGGCAATGGGACGCAAAGGAGGGCCAAGAGACACCCGTCCAATAGATCCTATGACTGGACGCTATTTGACATACGAGAAGTCAGACAACACTGACTAATCAAAGGACTCTGAAGGTGATGATGAAGATAGTGCAACCTCATGAAGCTTATACATCTCTGCTTTCTTAGATTAGTGTTGCTAGGATTGGTCTAGTCAGATCATTGAAAAGTTGTTTGAACTTTGAAGTTGTGTAGCTCGTGAATAACCCCCAATCTTGAGCAACAAAGCAACTTCTATTGAGATGTATGTTCTGCTACATTGTCTTATTGCCGAAAGAACTTCATTTTATATTTGTTTTAGCATATATAAACCCTAAAACCAATTTTTATCTATTCAGGTCACCCACGCATCCAGAAATGACCTTGGTGAAATTCTTGAAATAACTATAGAAGCCGAAATTTATTTTAGACCACTTAGTCCTTCCCTTGAAATTTACAGGTAGTTTGATGGCACGGACAATTGACAAAGCAGTAATTATGGAGACACACTTTGTTTGCATGTCGGGTTGTGATTGATCGGACCATTGACCGGACCATACAATCCTGGACCATGTAAACTTTTGTGTGTTTACAAAGCAGCAATCCTGGTGACACTAGCTCCAATGCTTCGTCACTGAAAGAGGCAGGATTTTACCGGTTGAAAAAGAACCAGAAAATCTAATTTTAGCCGTCCATTGAGCCAGATTAAGAGCAGCTTGATTCAATGAGAGAAATGTGAAATGTGAAATGTGAATAGTTTCTATTTTTGGCATTATTGAATTGCTTAGATTTGAAATTAGATGAAATTTATTTTAAAATTTTAACTAAATTTTTTCTAATTAGTACGTCGCAAGGTAACATAATTGTTACCAATCCACAAGCCAGTGACCCAAGGCCAATTGTTACCAATCCACAAGCCAGTGACCCAAGGCCTATAGAACACTACTTCTAACCTAGTTTAAGACAAAATATTCTACATGTCACGTTTTATGACATGGGCGGTCAGAATATTCTAAACTTCGTTACAAAGTTAAAGAGTTGTATAGATATGTACAGTGTAACTTAAATTATCTAAAATAATTTAGTACTGTATAAATATATCTTAAAAATATTTTTGGAGAATTTTAGAATCCAATACTAGAATACTCGAATTGTTATCATAATCATGCATTGAAAAAATCTGTAACCTCAAACTTCAGTTGTGCTTCTTAGTTCTCATCAAATATATCATCAAGAATTATAATACTTAAAACAATTGTAATAATTGTTCTATTCCTCGTATAATATCCAAGTTCAGTCCCTAGATACATAGAATGTATACCTGTTCTGAGCCGCATTAAATCAACCAAAATTTTCACCCGTCGATTCTTCCATAAAATTTAGAAATTTATGTTTACATGAATTAATTGTAATCAAAATAATACGTAGTGATATATTTGTTTCTTAATTTTGGAATCCAACTTCAATAAATAAAAAAAAATATGTCTTTTAAATTTTGTAATCCAACCTCAATAAATCATCTGGTTTTGGTTCTTCCCAAATTATTTACGGTAAATAAAAAATTCACACACTAAATTATGCTCATATACAAAATTTATTTACACTAAATTTGTATATAGATGTGCTAATTTATGTGAAGATATGCAAATGTGTTTTATTGAAACAGAAATAACAATTTGTATGGTAAGATCCAGTATGTTTTCTTATTGTACTCAAAAGAAGAGATATTGAGCTAGGAGGAAAAGCGTGTTTTTTCTCCCTACTTTGCCTCACTATATTCAATCTACCAAAACAAAGGAAAAGTCTTGAATCCATTTTCCTTTTCTTTCCTTCCAATTTTTTTCCTTCCTTTTCTATCCTTCCACAAGTTGTAAGAAATTAAAAAGTCAAAATCAAAATCCTGAATTACCAATCAGATTCAATCAACTAAATAAAAATTGATATAAACTTTGCAACCTATTAAAAATCTTATCAACATCTTTGCAACAAAATGGATACCATTATTAAAGTAATTTTAAAGGGCAAAAAAAACTTGATTACTCCGTTTGTTTAGATGTAAAATATTCTTTTTAAAAATTTATTTTTCTTTTTCTGTTTTTACTTTGTCAGAGTTTGGTAAACGTCTACGTCAAAGTTGAGGTCGAATCCATCCGGGGGTATGTAAATTAACTTACCGAAAATTTATGGATAAATTATTTTTGTTAAATTTTAATATTTTTTTTGTTCGTAAATATTTTACGACAATCAAACACCAAAAATAAAAAAAAAAATATTTTCTAAAAAATATTTTACGTCTGCAGAAGTAGATGCAGCATGTTTCTAACATGTAAACCCTCACAATACTAGGAAGTGGACTTCAATTGTGACCGGGCCATATTTTCATTTTTTCAAGCTAGGCCCAATAGAAAAGTATTATTATATGATGGGCCTAGATACGACATATAATTTGAAGTCCTTGTTCCAGCTCGGCTTAAAATCCGAAGAGAGTGTTCTGGGCCATGAGTGGACAACTGGACACATTTTTTAAGGGCGTGTTTGGGAAAATGGCAGAAAAGCAAGGTATTGTATTGTATGAAATTAGTAATTAATAATAATGATGATGGGTTTATTCTAAGAAAATAGTTTCCCTTAATAACTGCTAAGCATTTTTAAGTGTTGTGGTACCTTGATTATATTTTTTCTGGTACAAATGAGCATCATATCATATGCACACGAAGTTGATAAATTATTATTGTTATTTTAAGAAGGTAAATGCAGGGTAATCAATCCATTAATTTTTATTTATTTATTTATTTTTTTAAAAAAATAACGTTTGTTGAGTTATCATTGAATCAAAGTTGTGGGGGTCAAATGAACTGCTCAACAGAAAGGTGAGGACATTTTATGCAAATTTGTGAAAGGAATGGAATCTCATGGTTTGGAGTCGCAGTATCGGTTGCGATTGTAGTGTAACGGATTTGGATGAATATTGATATAAATCGACCGAATCAAACGATTCATGGAGAAATGTAACGATATCGGACCCTTGAAAAAAAATTATGAACCAAATGATAGAGTGAACTATACTCATAAGTCAGACATTCATGCACTATATATATAGATATATATTCTTATAAATAAATTGATTTTTTTTTCATCATTAAAAAAAATAATAATAATGGAAACACTAACTTGTTTTGTTTTGGTGAACATTTGAATTTTCAAATTTATTATTATTATTATTATTATTATTATTATTATTTTTTAACTACAAAAACAATTGAAAAAAATACCAAATTCATTTGGCGGCTGGGAATGGGTAGTAATGGTAGTCGTAGAATGGGTTTGGACTTCGGCCAGTTCAGCACTGCTTCTAACCTAAGTTTAAGACGAAGTATTCTATATATGTCACGTTTTGTTTTGTGAAAGTGTTAGAATAGATTTGTACGGTATAAGTTAGAACTCTCTAAAGTAATCTAGTACTGTATGGAAATGTCTTAGAAATATTTTGGAAGCATTTTAGAATTCAATTCTAAAATATCGGAGATTTAAATTCGTTGACACTTACAATGGCATAGTCAAGAATTTCCTTCAGTGAGGGTAATTTTTAACAACAATAATATATATGTGTGTGTGTGTATATATATTTATATATATATATATAATTTGAACCAAAATAATATATTTAAAAATTAAACAGTACTAAATATTTTAGAATATTTTTCATATTCTGAAAACATTGAATAATAACATAATTGTCAATAATATTAAAAATGTCTCTCTCAATATACACAACCATCAAATCATTCATCCATTGGTCTTCCATTCGATTGCGCAATCGAGTTTTCAAAATATTCACGGCATAGTAATCGTAAATTTAGATGATAAAAATATATATATCAGATTACCTGTATCTGCACTGCAGTATTTGTTTGAATTTTGTGAATTTTTGAAATGTTAAAAACTCGCCGAAAAAGAAATGTTGAAAACTGAAAATGTGATGGAAACAAAGCATTTATTTGTGATAAAGTCAAAAGTGTTAAAGAATATCTTGTATTTTTGGAAAAAGTGAAAAAGAATATAATATTTTGATAAAGTGGAAAAAAAATATCATATTTTTTGGAAAGATTATATTCCTTCTTCTTCCTCCTTTTTTTTTTTTTTTTTTTTTTTTTTTTTGGTAATACCATGAATGGTCAATTGGTTATGTGTGTGTGTGTGTGTGTGTGTGCAATGTCAAATTTTATCATATTTTTTAGAAAGATTATATTCTTTTTTTTTTCTTTTTTTTTTAGTGTAATACCATGAATGGTCATTTGGTTATATATATGTACAATGTCAAATTTTAGTGGGGGCAATTATACAAATATAAAAATATTTTCATATAAAATTAAATAAATTAAAAGTTCAGTGGGGCAGCTGCTCCAACTTGTCTGTAATGACCCGGATTTTCACGGATATTTTTTTCCGTTATCTTTCCTTTTTGAGTTCAGTTCCTCTTCGCTTAATGTCGTCTCGAGTGCTCTGGAGTGATTTCCGAGACTCTTTTTTGTGGATTAACAACTTCCTTTGAGAACTGAGTCGTTTTCACATTTTTCGTTTTTCGACACTATTCACTTTTCATCATTTTCCCTATTTTGGCCTTTTCCCTATTTTGTCTTTTCCCCGTTTGACACTTTGTTGGCGTAACCACACTTCTTGTGTTCGGAGTTGGTTTTTGACTTCATGTATCTCCATCTTGAGTAGTTTCCACGAAATACGTATCTTTACTTTTGCAAGAAAGTACTCTTGTTGCTCCCGGTGTCCATAGGGGCATAGATGCAAAGTTCTTTGAAATTATTTTCTTTTCTTGGGGTGTTTTTCGTAAATATCTTTTGAAGATATTTTATTTCAGGGATTTTTAAGAAAATATTTTTGGAAGATATTTTCATTATGGGCCATAAAGTACAGTTTTCACTTTTTGGAGGGGCCATTGTGCAATTAATGAAAGTTATTGCAAAATGTCTTGTTTTGAGTCTGGATCCTCGTACGGGATTCATTTTCACATTTCGTCGAGTTTTGTACTCTTGGAATTTCCTCGTGGTCGATATTTTCCAGTTTCAGGGTTTCTGGCCTTGGTTTGGGCCAAACTTGTTTTAGGCATAACTTTCTGCTCGGGACTCGATTTTCGACACCGTTTCTTCCATTGTTCATATTTTATCATTTTAAATCTTTTTTGTTCACAAAGTTTTGCCATTTGAGCACGTCTGCTCAAATTTTACTTTTTCAGACCCGGCGGGGCCCGTTCAGGGCACTTTTTGAGATTTCTATAAAAGGGGGGTGAGATATTTCATTTTTCATCTTCTCCCCTCTTCATGCATGACTTGGAGCTCCCA